TCTTCCTTTTTGGTTAGATACCAAACTAGGTATAGTAAATACTTTGTTGTATTCTTAAAAATATCACAACTTTAAGTGAATCCTGGATTCTCATGGAAATTTATGAAGCCAGAGTTAATTTCTTTTGGACAGTTCTCACCTGTATAAATTAAAGGTAGTTTTCCATTTGAACATGCTCATACAACATTGAGCATCTCTAGCTGAAATTAAAATAAGACATAGGAGCAGAAATTAGGCCATTCGGTCCATTGAGACTGTTCAATCATGGCTGACAAGTTTCTCATCCTCATTCTCCAACCTTTTCCCTGTAACCTTTGATTCCCTTGACAATCAAGAACCTATCTATCTGCCTTAAATATACTCAATGACCTGCCCTCCACACCTTCTGTGACATTGAATTGAATAGATTCACCACCTTCTGGCTTAAGAAGTTTCTGTTCATCTCTGTTCCAAAGGGTCTGTCTTTTACTCTAAAACTGTGTCCTCAGGTCCTAGTGTCTCCTGATAATGGAAACATCTTCCCAATGTCCACTGTGTCCAGGCCATTCAATATTCCGAAAGCTTTAATTAGGATCTCCCTCCCCATCCTTCTAAATTCCATGGAGTATAGACCCAGAGTCCTTAAACGTTCCTCACATGTTAAGCTTTTCATTCTTGAGATCATTCTCGTGAACCTCCTCTGGACCCGCTCCAGGGCCAGTACATTTTTCTTGAGATACAGGGCCCAAAATTGCTCACAATATTCTAAATGTGGTTTGACTAGAGCTTTATAAAGCCTCCGGTATGTCCCTGCTTTTATATTCTAGTCCTCTTGAAATAAATGCCACCATTGCATTTGCTTTCCTAACTACCGACTCAACCTGCAACTTAACCTTAAGAGAATCCTGGACTAAGACTCCCAAGTCCTTTTGCACTTCAAATTTCTGAATTTTCTCCCCATTTCAAAAATTGGCTACACCTCTATTTTTCTACCAAAGTGCATGGCCTCACACTTTCCCACAATCAATTCCATAAGATTGATGGGCTTAAATGGCACCATACTCTCAAACATTCACTCTGTCACCTGACATCAGTAGCAGCAGTGTGTGCTACCTACAAATTCACCAACAATCCTTAGCTTCCAAACCCATAACCATTTCTATCTGGAAGAACAGGGCAGCAGATACATCTGAATACCACCACCTGCAAGTTTCCTTTCAATCCACTCAGCATCCTGACTTGGAAATATGCTGCCATTCCCTCACTGTCACTGAATCAAAATCCTGTAATTCCTTCCCTAAATGGCTTTCTGGGTCTACCCACAGCACATGAATCACAACAGTTCAAGAAGACAACTCAACACCAAGGACAACTAGGGATAGGCAATAAATCCTGGCCAGCAAGTGATGCCATGTCCCAGGAGTGAATAAATGAAAAACCTAAATAAAGAAGAAATACTTCATAAAGAGAAAACATTGTAGAACTATAGGGAAAGAATTTGAGTGGGACTAATCAATAGCTATTGCAAAGACCAACAGAAGCACAATAGTCTAAATGCTTGCTTCTGTAGATGCCTCTGTCTGGTCCTCTAACTCTTGCCTTAAACTGCATAGCAATTCTCTGTCCTAATGATTTTCTTTCCTAGCAATATTCATCCTTCATCACAGATAGCCACCCATGCCCTTCATTCACCTTCACATGAATTTCTAGCATTCTTTGCCTGAATTTCCATATTCATGTCAACCCCCTTATTAATATTTAATGTTAACAGCAATGATGACACACGCAAATGATGCAAGGAAGAAAAGAATCGGCAATGCAAATCAGAAAAACTGACCAAAAGAATTGAACAACCCCTAAGTCATGCCACTGAAATGTCGTATTTTAATGCAAGAACTTATGGTGGTTCAGTTTTGTTTTGTTCTGAATTCTTGCCTTTACAGGCCATCAAAACAGTTAGACAAGACTGCTAGTCAACTTACCACCATTTCAAACTATTTATATCCTGCTAACTGCTCATGTGGAGCAAAATTTGTCAGATTTGATTGGTTATATTTGGTGCAAGACATTGCTTAGCCTTTGCTATAGCGAGGGGTCGAGCTAATGCACTTACATATCTGCTGTCCATATGTGACTTCAGTAAAATGGGGTGAAAATGCTCATTTCCTGGCTGTTTTGCACACTAGTATGTAACCCTTTGTCTATTGTTTTGCTGGGGTAAAATTTTTAAATCTCTATTGAATAACTTCAGAACAGTAAAACTAAAATGCTGTAACAGATTTACAAATGGAAACAAACTGAAGGAAGCCTTGTGTGTTGCTACAGAAATATTTTCAGACTTTGCTCAGTGAAACACAGCCCTCATCGTATTACTTCATTCCAGAGTTTAGGATTTCCAGTTGCAGATTATTGGAAGTGTTTCAGTGCTTATTCATTGCATACTTATCCAGAAAATAGGATGATGAATGTTATTTACTGAATCAGTAAAGATGTGAGATCTAAAAAATAACTCCATTCAAATTTTCTCAACAAGATCGTTTTTGGATTTTGGTGCTCAGCTACACAAGACGCTTTTAGGTACATGAACTTAATTAGTTTTAGTCAGCATTGAGTGCAACTGAAATTGATATTTAAAGCCCAGTTTGTGTATGGTTTTAAAAAAAATTCAAACAAGTTTTGAACAACTTTTAAAATATGCTCCTGGACAGCAAGTATTCCTCCCCTCAATTGGACCTTCTTTGTCATTCTGAAAAAATGACATGACTACAGTGAGTAGTAAATATCTCCTCATAATATCCTGTCCAATTGGGTGAAAGTTTTGCAGAGACATTTTAAAAGGGATGATTGTTTAAGATAACTTCAACTATCTATTTACATAGGACTTCGGTAAAGGAGCAGAACATTTGACCCTTTGAGCCTAATTATGGCTTATCTGATTGTGGTCTCATCGTGACTTCCTATTTGCACTCCATTAACTCTTGACTCCCTTGTTTATCTAACTCAGCCTTGAATAAAATTAAGACACAGATTCCTCGACTTTTTTTTAACAACCCTCAAAATAATTCTCCTCAGTTGCCTCATTTTTAAATTATGTCCCTAGTTTGAGTGCCCCACTAAAAGAAATATCCTCTGGGTATCATCTGTCCTATCCAATCCCTTCGAGACTGTTTCTCATTTTTTTAAACTCAAATGGTACAGGCCTAATCTGTTCAATACTTTCTTCAAGATAAGTCCTTTAGTTGAGTTAACCTCCTCCAGCTGCTTCTACTAGTTATACCATTTTTCAAATAAGTGGACAACCTGTACTTCAGAAGTGTTCATTTTCCTCCCTTTACAATAAACAAAATTCCATTTGCCTTAATGATATTCTTAAAGACGGGGACAAAATCCAGTGCTTATCATTGGCTTGCTTGGCAACTTACAAGAATGTTGTGTTGTGCACCCGAAACAAAGCAAACTAATTAAGTAAGGCATGGAAGGCAGCTAAAGCATTGTGTCTTACTCCTTTGTACAGAAAACGGAATTCTACAGTTAAAGCTTTAAAATAAACCATTCAACAACCCTTTAACTGTGAAACCAATATAACACTATATTGTTCAATTCTGGCAAAAAAAAGACAAGTTGAATACAAATGATGAAAGGAAAACTTGGGCATCAGGGGGTAGGAAGAGAAAGTGGGAACATGGTCTTTGAGATAAAGGACCAGCCGTGATCATAAGTGAACGGCAGAGCAGACTTGAGTGGTGTACTCCTGCTCCTAGTTTCTATATTGTACAATGACAAAACGAAAACGGAGCACTTGTCCTGGTTCTTTAAAAGGGCTACCTAATTAATTCTACCCTGCACTCCTTTCCCCCCGCCCCCATCGGTTTTTGTACATCGCCCTACAGCGTTTTAGCTTTTATTCATTTCCTTTCGAACGCGCCCCACCCCACCACTTCAGGTAGTCCATTCCATGCTAATTAAGCTTAAACAAATACTTCCTTCTCGCCCTATTGGGTCCTTTGCCAAATTTCTGAAATTTGTCATACAAACAAAAACGTGGAGAAAAAAAAAATCAAGTCTGACAACACCTGCGGAGAAAGAGTAACAGTTAAGGTCTCGAACAAAAACAGAAATCGCGCAAAAAGCTCAGTAGGTCTGGAAGCATTTGTGAAGAAAAATCAGAGTTAACGTTTCGAGTCCGGTGACCCTTCAGATGCTGCCAAACCTGCTGAGCTTTTCCAGCAACTTTTTTTTTATTCCTGATTTACAGCATTCTCAGTTCTTTAGGTTTTTAGTTAAGGATTTAGAGTCCAGAATGACGCTATCTTTAATGTCACATTGGACTCTTTCCACCGATGCCGTCAGTCCTACTGGGCATCTCCAGCACGTTTCGTTTTTATGAGATAGTAGGAACTGCAGATGCTGGAGAATCTGAGATAACAAGGTGTAGAGCTGGATGAACACAGCAGGCCGAGCAGGAAGACTGACGTTTCGAGCCTAGACTCTTCTGAAGAAGGGTCTAGGCCCGAAACGTCAGCCTTCCTGCTCCTCTGATGCTGCTTGGCCTGCTGTGTTCATACGTTTCATTTTCATGTCAGATCTTCCAATATCTGCAGTATTTCACCTTTGTAAATTTGACAGCTGTACTGATAACCAATCTTCCTACCACCTGAAACCAGTTCCTCCTTATTCATTCTATTAAATTCCCCTTAAGGACCACTGCTGCACTAAAGCCGAGAATAGAAGACAAAGAACTGCTGATCGCAACTCAACTTTGAGAAACACTCGGCTGAACAGCTGCCGGTTGTCAAACCGGTGACGGCACTCCAGGAGATGGTAGTTCACGACAAGTCCTCACAAGGAATTGCTACAATTCGATTATCGTTTAATTACAGTATCTCATTTTACTGGCCTCGGCTTCAGCGGGCACTTTGTTACAGCAGTGTTTACCTTCCCCTTCGTGTCGAGGGAGAAAAGGAATGTTTTACAAAAGAAAAGCGAACCATGCCGATAAAGCCAAGCACAATCCAATTTACGGCCTATAGCAAAGTCGCGCTCCGATGACGTCAGGGCGTCTGCGTTGCCCTCTCTCCCGATATATTTATAAAAATTAATGTGTCGATTAATGAAAGAGGGATACCGATAAATCGGGAAGGTCGGTAGGAGAACAATGCGTTTCGAACGGTTTCGGGGAGTCAGGTATGCCGCCTCAGCGACCGGGGGGCGGGGGGAGAGAGAGAGAGAAAGAAATGGGCGCGACACATTGGGTTAAAAGGAAAGGCCGGTTGTAGCGGATGGGGAGGAGGTCGATGTTCGGTTCTTTCCCCACAAGTGGTACATGTCATCGGCAGATCCGCTGTCGGTTCGCCGCCCTGGCCGGTGGTCAGGATTCGACTGTTTGAAGGTGGCAGAGCTCGAGCTCATTGACAATCGGGGAGGGGGTCAGGGCGGGGGCAACAACCGTCACCCCCGCGCGATTGTCAGCTGCCACCACCTCGCGGAATCCTCCGCCCGCGACTCCGCCAGCACCCCCCTCTTCCTCCGCTCCCTCCCCCAATCGCCAGTGAAACGGCCCCCCGCTGGGCAGCCGCCGATAATAAGAAGAACAATAAGTTCGGGGATGCGGCGGAGAGTGTACCACCTCCAACCTTACTCCTGACAGGCAGGTACGTCCCCCGCCCATGGCTGGAAGACGTTCTCCACATCTTGTCCTTTCTCGGTGCTGGCTGCTCAGATTGCACCCGGTCTCCCTGACCGTGTGGGTGCGCTCTGTTTACAGCCTTCCATCCTTCCAAGTTGTTTACACTGAGGAGGTGGTGGATAGAGTTTAGTGTTTTCTATTCCACAAAAAAAACACTTGAGCATTGCAACGTGATCTGCTTAATTTTCCATCAAGGAGAGCTAAAGGAAGGAGGTAGGGCTGTTTCGTCATTTTTTCAAAGAGCTGGAACTAACACAAGGGGCCGAATAGTCTCCCTCTCTGTTATTTCTGTTTACAGAAAATATGTCCAGTTTGGAAATAATATATAACCCTTCTTCAATCTCTCTCTCTCCTTTAACATGCCCTCCTTAACTAAGTTGCCCTCATTGTCTCAGAGATAGTAGGAGCTGCAGATGCTGGAGAATCTGATTTTATTTCTCAGGTAATGCTACTCTGAAGCATCTTAAGATAATTAACAAAAAAGAAAACTATATTAATGTGATAGCAAGAACTGCAGATGCTGGAGTCAGAGATGACAAAGTGTAGAGCTGGAGGAAACTAGCAGGCCAGGTAGCATCAGAGGAGCAGGAAAGCTGACGTGTTGGGTCGGGACCCTTCTTCAGAAATGGAGTTTCTCACGAAGGGTCCTGACCCGAAATGTCAGCTTTCCTGTTCCTCTGATGCTGCCTGGCCTGCTGAGCTCCTCCAGCTCCACGTTTTGTTATCTATTGTGTTCTTATGCTAATCAAAGCAATTGAAGGGTCAGTACTTTCTAGAAAGAACATCCTAATGTCCTTGATAGCATTCCTCTGAAGCACCTTGGGACATTTTGCTGTGTTAAAGTGGCAAAATAAATGCAATCTCTTGAATGTTGAGCACTGGTCTTTTGCACCTGGCTGTAGGCCAGTTATTGGGCTAATGAAAATCAGTGAAGCCCTTTTTCGTTTTAACTTGCTTAGGGTTGGTTGAAGGTGTTTCGGTTTGGTTTGTTTTGGGACTTGCAAAAAAAATGTATAATTTTGAAGTGAAATTGCCGAAAGAGCTGTGCAATTCAGCAAAGCTGAAAGCCTTGTCATGATCTTTATGACTTCTCATTAGGCTAGAATGATTTCAGAACTTAACAAACCAAACCTTTCAAAACCAAATTGCATGTTTAATTTTTGTTTTAAGATTTCTAATTTTTGTCTCCGATATGAGTTTAATTGATCAAGTTAGAAAGTCAGAGCAGTGGCATTAACTCACCATGAATGTCAGTCTAAATGTTCATGAATATTTGACTACATTTTGTATGATCATTCAATTTCATGATTTATTTTCAAATGTGCAAATTCCAAGAATTCTTTTAATTTTAAAAAATTAATGAAGCAGACAGATAGGAATTCCAGATTTTTGTGATAAAAGTATAGACAGCCAATAAAAGAGCCAAATACAAGCATAAAACAGATGTAGAGATATTACTTGAGAATTTTTAAAATCCTAATCTAGCCAGGATGCAGAAAGCACACATTACACCCAAATGGTGAAGTACCAAAACAAGTTTGTGTCTAATTTCTTAGTTACTCTTCCTCCAGTTTTCTGTACTCTGTACTATATTTTTCCACCTGGTTTGTTCCTCACTCCTGAAGTGAGTACTTATCTCTTATCCAACAATTCTGTGCAGATTCATTCTTCTCTGGCTGTTGGTTTGTCTTTTTCTCCCTTTTTTTTGTTGTTTGTCTATAGGGTCAATTCATCCTATTGAATTTTGTGAATGATATTCCTCTGGGACTGGGTGTGTGGGATGTTAACTTACTATTGAGAAAGTCAGTGCATTTAGCTGTAGCCAGTGCGAGGCAAGCAGTCTAGGTTGGGATTATGCAAGCAGAAACAGTCTACTGGAACTGAGTAAAGAGAGAGAATGTAAGCGTTAGTCAGAACATAACAAAGGACTGAAAGCAGCTGTGAAACTCAGGACTGGCAAGAATGGCCTCAAAGGAGAGAGCAAGCAGCACAACCATGACTCAGGAAAGAGCAGGTACAAAGGAAGAACTTTATTCTTATCATTTTTATTTCTGAAAATGCCTTGCAGTTTTATGATTTCTTTTCAAAGCTGGATTAAAAAGTTTGGAAAATGAATGAAATTTACAGGAGAACCAAAGTAGTAATTCAGTCAGATCACTGAAAATGGTGTCTTTCGTGAGGTTCCAAGAATCTTGCAATGGTTCAGAGACTTTAACGCCTTATCCTGTGATTCATTTTTTTCTCAAATTCATTTTTCTCTTTGCTAGAACTTGAAAGTGCAGTACATATTGTTGAACCTCTGTTCATGTTTACTTGATGGGCTATGGTGAGAGTTAAGTTGAATATTGTAGTTGTTGTGTTGGTTGTACTTTTCATTCAATGCTAGCAATGGTCCTGCAGTCCAAAGAAATTCTAGGTTTAAATTTCTAGCCAAATGTTCACCTCTCATCCATTTTCCCTTGAAGAAAAGTTTTTGATTTCTCTCGTGATCTGAAATCTAACAGGAATTGTATCTCAACAGCCTGCATTATGATCCTGTCACTGTCAATATAGCTGTCGCCTAATGGCTAGGTTAACTGTGTTTGTGTTGGTACAGATGTACCTCTGGGAAGTGAACGTGGAATCTGTCAGTGCCATCAAGACCCATTGACAGCAGTTGATTTAAGATCCAGTTGAAGATTGCCTCAAACTAACCAGTATTCAACAAAAATGATGCTTCCAAACTGGATGATTGCTTGTGTGCCCTAAGCATTCACACATTTTGGTTAAACGTCAGAGAATATCTTTGTATTTTAGGGCTTTCCCATAATGGTGGCATGATTCATAGGCCATGTAAAGTGCAAGAATACCTTTATTGAATTGAAATGGTAGGGGTTGAGGCAGGCTGTACAGGTATTCAACAGCCTCACTGCATAAGAAGTGATACATTGGAGACAGAAGCAGTTACGGAAGTAGAATGAAGGGAGTTCGGGAGAATTTTGTAGTTGAATAAAGCCCGGCGTTATAGAGTCATAGAGATGTACAGCATGGAACTCGTCCATATTGTACCAGATATCCTAAATTAATCTAGTCCCATTTGCCACCATTTGACCCATATCTCTCCAAACCCTCCTTATTCATTTATCCATTCAGATGCCTTTTCAGTGTTGTAATTGTACCAGGTTCCACCACGTCCTCTGGCAGCTCATTTCTTACACGCACCACCCTCTGTGTGAAGAAGCTGCCCCTTAGGTCACTTTTAAACCATTCCCCTCTCACCTTAAATCTATGCCATCTAGTTTTGGACTTCCTACACTGGGGGAGAGACCTTGGCTATTCACCCTATCTATGCCCCTCATGATTATAAGGTCACCTCTCAGCCTCCGACGCTCCAGAGGAAATAGCCCCAGCCTATTCAGCCTCTCCCTATAGCTCAAACCTTCCAACCCTGGCAACATCTTTGTAAATCTTTTCTGAACCCTATAGCAAAGAGACCAGAATTGAACGCAGTATTCCAAAAGTGACCTAACCAAGTGTCCCATATAGCTACAACGTGACCTCCCAACTCCTCAATGCACTGACCAATAAAGGTGGGCATACCAATACGTCGTCTTCATTACCCTGTCTATGTGCGACTCCACTTTCAAGGAACTATGAACTTGCACTCCAAAGTCCCTTTGTTCGGCAACATTCCCCAGGACCTTAGCATTAAGTGTATTAGTCCTGTCCTGATTTGCCCTACCAAAATATAGCACCTCACGTTTATCTAGATTAAACGCCCACCCGCCACTCCTCGGCCCATCTGATCAAGGTCCCGTTGTACACTGAGATGACCTTTTGCTGTCTACTACACCACTGATTTTGGTGTCATCTGCAAATTTACTAACCATACCTCCTATATTCAAATCCAAATCCAAATCCAAATCATTTATATAGATGACAAAAAGCAGTGGACCCAGCACCGATCCCTACAGCACACTGTTGGACACAGGCCTCCAGTCCGAAAAGCAAACCTCTGCCTCCTAACTTCTAGCCAATTTTGTATCCAAATGGCTACTTTAAACTATCAAAGCTTTTAAAAAAAAAAAAAAAAAAAAAAAACACTTTTGGACCTCTTCTGGTCCCATGCTCTTGCTGAAATGGTTTGGCAAGAAAGCCATAAAGCTGTTGTCATGCAGTTGCCATTAGATTGTAGATATGTTGAAAGCGACAGAATCGCAATGCAGGGCTGCTGAGATATAACTCCTGTTGGGTTCCACATTACAAGGGAGAAGTCCACATTTTGTTCAAGGCCATGATAGGTCATGATAATCACCTGAACTTAAACTAATTATCTTCCCACTCTGAAGAGTGGGTTAAAAAATGATATTGCTGAAAGACATTGAAACCTTGGTGACTAAGTCTAACATCCAATTTTAACTGCTTGCTCAGAATTGTTATATAAAGGAGTAATTTTATGCACAGCACCTAAGCACTAGTACTTACAAGATGTGTTTAAATTCTTCGTATCTAGAGGGAAAATGAAAGCACCATATTGAACTTCTGAAATGGTAAATTTGACATAACTATCAATTCTCCAATTGATTTTCTTTTCTTGCAAGTGCATGTCCATTGGCAAGTCATAATATTTGCAAGATTGAAATTGAGAGCCCACTCTGAATAATTTCATAGATAGTAGGAGCTGCAGATGCTGGAGAATCTGAGATACCAGGGTGTGGAGCTGGATGAACACAGCA